GCACAGTAGGTGTGGGGCCTGTCCCTGTCCCCTGCATACAGTAGGTGTGGGACCCGTCCCTGTCCCCTGCACACAGTAGGTGTGGTGCCTGTCCCTGTCCCCTGCACACAGTAGGTGTGGGGCCTGGTCTAGTTTCCTGCGCACAGTAGGTGTGCTCATGACACAGGGGTGGAGCCTGCCTGCTTTAGCCCTGATAGGAAGGCAGCACCTTTCTCTGAAAGAAAGAGGAAGCCCTGGGGGTCTTGGGAGGCCTGGGGGTAGCCTGGGGAAACCCGCCTCAGCCTACAGTCATTGAAAAGGCCTCCGGATGGCTGGCAAGTCGTCTGAACTTCATCGTGGCCCCGACAGGCTCACAGGACAGGCTCACACGTCTCATCCCCGGGTACCAGGTCGGCTCTGTTACCTGTACTCAGGCCTCCCTGACCCTCGCTTATCCTGGAAGGGAGCTGGGAGGGCTTGGGAGGGGAGGGAGCCCCTTCCTCCTTCTTGTGCTGTGACCCCTTTGTAGGGCCCCAAGAGGATCCAGCCGCCAGCGGCGGGGCCCACCCCCTTATCTGCCATCTCATTCATCACACAGAGCCACGTGTGAGGAGAAAATAAATGAGACAGAAAACTGAGACTTGACTAGATATGAGCGTCGGCAGCCCCGGGCCGCGGGCCCCTGAAGAGTCTCGGGGAGCACAGCGAGGGCCCCCCCCCCACCCCCGGCACAGCTGTCTCTCACTCAGGAACAAGCTCTGGTTAAAAGCAGCCGGGTCCCCGGGACTCAGATCCGAGCCCGGTGTCTGAGGGCACACCTGTCTGGCTGCCTCTGTGTACAATGGAAGGGTCATTCTGCACTACCCAGGATGCTCTGCGTCCAGAAGCTTGAGGCCCGACGTCGTGTGCCAGCAAATCCAAAATTAGCTGGCCAGCGCAGTCGGTCTTATTTTTGGTCTTCTCCTTGCTTAATGACACTCCCCACACCTCATCAGACTATCAGATATCCCATAATGCATTGCCAGGGACTTCAGCCGAGGGACAGTATGAACCCCCTGAGAGCTGTACCACCTTCGGCAGGTCTCTTACCCTCTCTGGGCTTGGTGTCCTCACCAATACCTCCAAGAGTTCTGCTAAGCTGATGCTTTGGGATCCCGACGGCCAAATCCTCACACATCTCTTGGGTGACGCTGGGGACGACTGTGCTCGTGCATTTGCTGGGGGAAGACACGCCGGGCTCCTTCAGCCTGGAGCCTGGCTTCCCTCAAAGGTGGAGGGGCAGCTCCAGGGTTATGTCGGAGTGAATGTGTGTATCCTCCGAAGGTCCGTCTCTCTGTTCTCTGCTCTGTGTGTGTGTGTGTGTGTGTGTGTGTGTGAGAGAGAGAGAGAGAGAGAGAGAGAGCACACTATGCAACCCTGGCTGTCCTGGAACTTGCTATGTAGAACAGGCTATCCTCAAACTCAGAGAGATCTGCCTGCCTCTCCTGAGTGCTGGGATTAAAGTTGAACGTCGCCCAGCCCACCATTATGTGAAATGTGCTCACACATTTCTAATGGCAGTCTCCAAGTCAAGAGCCCAGGCTAGACCCGGAGTCACCAGCTGCAGAAGTGGCTCTCCACTCCTCACTGGAAGATGGCGGGTGCCAAGAGAAGTCCATCCAGAATGAGTGGGGAGGAAAGGCGGCCAGGAAAGGAGCCAGGTTGCTGGGAGCTAGATATGAAGTGAGGTGCCTGACACAGGACAGAACCGGAGGGCAGAGCAGGCACGTGGAGGTCGGCAGGCCAGCCAGGGCCCGCACCAAATGCTGGCCGGTGGCACCAGGAGAGTAAAGCTTCACTGAGAAGACACCAGCTCTCATGGGGGGGGGTTTGCTGCTGTGCACTGGAGGCTGTGCCGGGTGCCGTGAGGGCCACGGGGGTGGCAGAGGCACCGCCCTGTGCCTCGCAGAGGGTGCCAGGCTGTGTCAGCTCTGAGCAGAGAATCTCGGAGGGGTGAGCCGGGCAGCACTAGCAATCTTTCCAACAGTGGATGGAGGAGAGTCTCTGACAGGCCAGGCTGGGATTTTAACCAGCACTGCATGACGCTGATGTTTCTGGGAAACACCTTACCATTATCCAGAGCGAGACTGCAGTGAACATTTATTGAGCGCCCATGGTGTAGCCAGCACAGCGCCAAGGGCCTGCTGTGTGTTCTCTCACCCGACCTTCACATGAACTCTGTAAAGGCGACTCAGTTTACCTCGATTTCTTAGAGAAAGCCTGCAGAGGTGACTTGGCCCAAGGCCACATAGCCAAAGGGTGGCAGAGCTGGAATAGAGTCCGCCCAGAGCTGAGCTCAACCACCGGGTTGGCATGGCAGAAGTGACCTCAGGCCTGAGGGTGTACTGGAATTACTGGAGCTTAAAGAAGCTACTAGTGGGCCAGCAAGATGGCTCTTTGGTAAAACCAGTGGCCCACAGGGTGGCTCTTCTGGTAACGGTGCTGGCTGCCAGGCCTGATAACTTAAGTTCAATCAGCAGAGCTCACAGGCTGGAAGACACACACACACACACACACACACACACACAAAATGTAAAAGAAAGGGCGAAAGGTATATCCTTCAGTGATGGCATCCCACCCAGACAGCAAAGGCCAAATGTCTAAGGCAGCAGAGCACAGCACTCCTGGGTCTTTGGGGAGTTCTGGGGTGACTGAGAACAGCCAGTGCCAGCGCTGTGTGAGAACTGAGAACAATCGTGGCTGCAAAGTCCTCTCAGACAGACGGCTGGTATGGTGGGACCAGGTACACGGGGGTGGCGACAGAGGTAGGTGCCTTCGCTGGCCAGGATACACAGGTGGCTGCTTCCTGAGGGCCAGAGCATCATATCAGCATCAGCTGCTGATACCCAATCCCTCAGGGAGCTCGAAGGCTCTGCGGACCTCAGCCTCTGATACTCCTCTCCAGTGCTATAGCTACCACAGATGCCCCTCCCCCACCCAATGACTGCACGATTGCCCCATACCCCAGCTTCACTGTGTGAAGACGACGTTTGGCCCCAGACTTGACCAAGTACCTGTGAACAGAGAGGAACTGTGCCTACGTGCTACAGGTGGCTACAGCTGTAGCCTGGGACGTGGGGGTGGGGTGGGAGCACCAGGGCAGAGCAGGTTGAGGCCAGGCATTGGAGTCAAATGGCCTCGGAGGGAGGCTGGGTGGCTTCAGACCTAACATTTCTGAGCTTTGGCTTCTTAGCTTGTTAAACGGGGATGAGTTTGCTCACTGTGTTGTGAGGTCGGGCACACACCGGCCCACGAGGGCTCAGAATCTAATGTTATCTCTCTGTGAATTACTTGTTTCGGAGGGCAAGGGCACAGACCTGCCAGGGAACATGCTGGACCTCATCTTAGGGCCCTCGAGCTGCTGGTAGTGACCTCTAGGTGGCGCACCCCAGCCCAGCTGCCATCTGCCCTCCTCCTGAGGGTGGTGGGACAGGCACCAGCTGCCCCCTAGTGGCTGAGGGCAAACACAGAGTCATCAGAACTCAGTCTAATCCAGCCCAACTTTACAATGGCCCCGGGGCTCCCACAGGCTCCGTGGGTGAGGAACTAGTTCACCAGGCTTTGGTGGACCCTGCCATTCCAGAAGCATGGGGGAGAGACATATCCTTCTCCTAGCCGGTTGACATCAGAAGGAAGGGATACCCTGGGCCGTAAGTTCACTTCCCAGGTTTCAGAGCTGTGTGCACTGGTGGGCACTCATGAGAACCATGCTCTGTGCTGTGATTGAGGTGTCCCTATGCAGTTAATGGCTACCTAGGAAACCTCCCTCCCTGAGTTACACAGCAAAGTGACGGATGTCTTCCTTCAGCCTGAGAACTCCCTGAGAGAGGGAGGGATGAGGAGCAGTGCACGCTAGCCCACAGGGCCCGAGGCTTTGTTTGTCCGATCTCTTTTTATTTCCCCCACAGGCAGCTTTCCCAAGTGTGCACACGGAGATGGAGCAGTTGGCAGGCCTTCCTCAGCCGGTCATCCCCAGAGAGAGCGCAGGAGACAGGAGCCATTGGCCAGGCAGTTCCTGAGGGGTCACGGTTGGCTGGACAGAAGAAGGGTGCATAGCTTGGAAGCAGAGTTTGTGTGAGGCAGACGGAGGCCAGGGCCAGGCAGATGCACCCATAAGAGCTCCAGGGGGAAGGCCTTGCGTGTCAGCCTGCCATTTCAGGAGACCCCATAACTGATGCCTGTCTGGCTTCAGAAATGCCAGAATACAGACGGGCCATGGAGGCGGCGCCTCTCAGAGTCTAGAAGGCGCTACCAGCAGAAACTGTGTCAGTGGCCAGCACAGAGGCCAACTCCAGTCCCAGATACTTGGAGGCTTCTTGGTCGGACCGCACGTCAGGTCATCTCAGAGGCCCAGGGCTTGTCGGACAGGGTCCTCTACAGAGGCGGTTGAGTGCATAGAGACCCCAGATGCTCCAATACTGGTCTCCCAGCAGTCAAACCCACAGCTGGTCAGGGCCTGCTTGGTGGCCTCCACTTTGGCTCGCTCTAGACCTGGGGACGGAAGGCAGTCAGCCTTGGTGAATGGTACTCAGCAGACGCCCCCGCCTCTGGAGTAAGGCCCTCCTGTGATGCATCTTGTGGCTTCTGAGGCTCACTGCGGTACCTATGAGTCTGTGCCAAGCCCCGCACCCTCCTCATAGGCTGCAGTCGCCTGGACCTAGCTTTACCATTGCATCATGACTTCACGCCACGTATTAAATGTGGCTTCCAACTTAATCCCCATATGGGCCTCAGTTTTCCTATCTAGGAATAGGGCTGACTCTGCCCACCCCTGATGCGTGTCTGGCCAGCACCTGGTATACTGAGCATGCTCAAAATACTGACTGGATATTAGCCATCGACCAGGAGGTGGCACGCAAGGCCTCCAGGAGGCGGGGGGAGGGGGGGTGACACTGCACTCCTTGAAGCCAGAGGCCTGGGTCTCTGGGAACTCTGGTGGAGTGTACGGAGTGAGGAGATTGAGGGAGGGATGGAGGAGGGGGGAAGGGCAAGCAGAAGGCATGGGGTGGGTGAGGCGGATACCACTGGATACCCACTGGAGCAGCTCTGGTATGGGGTGGTGCTCCCTCCCCTCAAGCCTATCATTCGGTCTTTCCTACCAAAGACCAATGAGCATGGCTGTTTCACTCTTCCTCGCAGTGATCACGGCTAGGGTATGGGAGCCCTCCTGGATGTCTCTGAAACTTGTGCAGGCGGAGGCAGGAGCAGCCTGGGGTGGATGAGCGGTCTAGCCACAGGCTCCTCCTGGGTCCAGTAGTCTGCCTGCCAACACCCGTGCTTTCCCAGGGGAAACAAAGGCACAGGGAGGTCAACTCACTTGCCTAAGGCCACAGAGCTGAGCTCAAGCCTCCCCCTCTAGGGAATCTCTGGCGGACCCTCCACCATCGTCCACGCTGGCAACAAGCCTTCTCCCAGGCCGCATACCCCGTACCTGGCTTCAGGAGGGTGATGCCACAGCCGCCGCCGCCTGCGCCAGTCAGCTTGCTGTGCAGCCCGTGTGCTGCGGTTACCTGGCAGAGCTGGTCCAGGGAGGCGTGGCCCACGCCCAGGGCATTCAGGTGGTGCTGGTTCATGTCCATTAGCTCCTGGAAGAGGGGTCATCTGTTCCTGCCTGACCCACCCAAGGTGAGCCCTCTGTTGCATCCCAGGTTGCCCGTCCACCCAGGTCGCCCGTCCACCCATCAGCTGCTGAGGTGGGACAGCTCATGCTCTCTCTGTGGGACTTAGTGAGTTCATCCTCCCCCACTGAGGCCAGTACCAACCAAGCCTGGCCCTGGGGATTATAAGGGACACGCATATAATCCAAACTGGTCAAGCAGGGGTGGGGGGAGGTCCCTCTCACTGGAATGGCCAAAACTAGTTGACTTCAGATACTGGCCACCAAACCTATCCACCATGTGGTCAGAGATCACGTGAAGTATTCCTAACCACAGGGCTTCAATCTCTGGATGAAGCTAAGCCATTGCCACTGGTCCCTTACTTAGGAGACGGTCCCTTTCCCTGCAAAAGGCCAGTGGCGACGGCTTACCATTTGCGAGAGAAAATATATGACATGCCACCCTACTGCTGCCCTCCTCCCTGGGATGGTTTTCGGAATACGAGCCTGGCTGTTACTCCAGCAAGGTCGCGAGTGAGGAAGAAATAGCTAAATATTTGTCTAGGTTTCTTCAATTATGAGCAATGAGATTGCAGCTTTCCGGGGACCAACGAGACGCGCCCTGTGGATAAAGGGCTGAAGGCGGCCACCGCTTGCTTTTCTGGGATGCTGGGTATACACTGTGAGCTGGGAGAGGAGCACCTGGCAAGGCTCTGCTCTCCCTCCCGGGCCTGGGGCTCAGGCAGGCTGGGGTCAGGCTTGGCTTGGCCCTTCTCAGTCCTTTGCTAGAGAGTTCCTCCCAGGGAAGCAGATGGTGTGAGGTCTGTCCCCTCCTGGGAAGAACTTTTGCCCAATGCCTGTGCTCTGCAAACCCTGCCATCAGTGTAACTCACTATTATCCCATTTTATAAAGGGAACACTGAGGGCCAGGGTTTGGGGCCACCCATCTTGCAGGGGTGATGAGTCGGTGCCAGAGCGCTCCTGCTTGCTAGAGCACCCTTGGGCTTCCAGATGCCTCTTTCTTGCTCAGGGGTGGGGTGGGGGGTCTCTGCTCTGAGCATGGAGCTCGGGATGCCCGCACACGGAGGGCTGCCCATCGCTGAGGCAGCTCCACCAGGTGCTCTTCCTCGGGCCCGCCCACTTGCTGGGATTCTGACAAACGAGCACTGTCTGGTGGCAGCCCCGGCCTGCCTTTCCCGAGCCTGGTGGGCTGCGTGCGGAGACTTCTGGGGCCTCTCTGTGTGCCTGAGCTCCAGGTGTCATGTTGTCAAGGCAGGTTCCAGACACCTGTCACATTCTGATCCAAAATCTGTCAAGGATCAGATGACAGACTATGACACGAGAGAATAGCTCGCCGGTTCACGTGCAAAGCTCTCCGGGAGCAGCAGCAGCGCTGTGCACTTGAGCGGCTGTGGCAGCCCAAAATACCCTCGCTGCGTACGTAATCTGCCTGCTGCTCCCGGGGCTCTCGGGGCTTGACAGGGTGCATGGGAGAAATTCTTGTCTTTTTTACATCCCTGCTCGGGTCTGTGGTTCTGAACATGTGGGAGGAGCCGAGAGCTGGGGGAAGAGGCTTGAGGACTGCCCAGTGCACAGTAGGTGCTCAGGAAAGATCTGAGTGATCCCGGGTGTGATAGTGCACACCCCAAGCAGATCTCTAAGTCTGAGGCTATCTTGGTCTACATAGTGAGTTCCAGGCCAGCCAGGGCTACATAGCATGACCCGTCTTGAAAAATTAACTAATAAAATCTGCTGAGTGGAGGCACAGGTACACGTTAGTTTGGGTCCTGGCTCTGCCACTCACTAGCTGGATAACACAAGAGGAAGAAGTCAGTCAGCCTCTTTGGACCTCAGCTTTCGCGCCTGTAAGATGGACACACAGTTGTCAGGAGCAGGAGTGCTGTTCTCCTGAGAGGCCGCTGTAGTGTTAGCTGCACACTGGGATGCCAGCAGGCAGAGGCTGCAGTGGGTACTACAGGTCAGTACTAGAGGCCAGACGGGGGTGGGGGGATGCCTGCTGTCTGGAGGGGACCCTGCCCGCACGGTCACATGACTTCTGGCTCAGCTGCTTCAGCCAAGGGCTGCTAGGCCCCTTGCACGTCAAGGGAGGCCAGATGGCTTTCTACCGTCAGCCTGACTTACCAGACCAGATGGCCCATGTCTATCTGAGAGGGAGCCTTTGGCTCTCTGAGCTGGTGGCACATGGGCACTGGGACCAGGAGCCCCTGGAACTGGGATTAGCTTGTGACACCCTACTGAGGCCACCAGCGGGCAGGTAGTGTAAGAGAATTCAGACACGGGGATGCTCAAACGCTAAATAGAATCACACAGATGGCGCTGGCCACAGTTAAGGGACCACAGAACACCTTCAGGACCCGCCTTCCCAGAAGCGCAGGTGGCTGCCGAGTGGACACCCGTAGTCAGCACGGTGCGGGAACCAGGAAGGTAGGGGTCTCCCCCCTCAACCTCAGGACCCACACCTCCCGCAGGACCTCAGTGTGCCAGGCTTCCACACTTGGCCCTGTGGGCACACACGTGCTCAGGGCCCAGGCCTGGGCAAACTGAGGACATGGGGGAGACACTCCTTGGGCAGCAGTGGGGTGAGCAGGTCCTCTCTGTAGGGGGCTTACTTCTAGTATGAGGTACTGTTCCGGAACTGGCGCTGCCACCATCTCTCCGAGCACGCGCTCACACTCCAGGGATATTGCGTCAATTGAGGTCAGGAGTGGGGCCACGATCTCAGGGAACTGCGGGGAAGGCAGGCGGGCAGAGCGTGAGCTCTAAGGCTAGACCCTGCTGCAGTGGGAGGGCACCATCTACACCAGCCCACAGGGATCTCCTCTGGCCTGGCCTTTGTCCTGCTGATGCCTTGATGTCTGTGCGGGGGTATCCTTACCCCGCAAAGCCAGGGTGACTAATGGGACAGGCCTGTTCCAAAAGTCCCCATCCTGACTGGCTTGGCAGTGGCCACAGTAAGCACCTTCCTTTCTACACACACTGTCCCCCCACCCCGAGATTTCCCTGTCTCCCAATACACACAGCACCCCTCCATCCAGGCGCACCTTGACCAGTCTGCTTCTGACGCCAGCCACGAGGGCCTTGGTACTTCGTGGGACCTTGGTGTTGGTGAGCAAGATCTGCAGAGCCGGGAGCCTGGAGAGAAATGAAGGTGGGGTGGAGGGGCCGGGCCCAGGAAGGTGTGGGTGTGTCACACAGCAAGCCCACGGAGGGGGACTAGAGGGCAGGGAGGGGAGAAAGGAGGTCCTCCGAGACTTCACCTCCATGAGATGTAAGGGCTGAGGAGAGATGAAGACCGCCAGAGGCCAAGGTTAGGCACAGCAGCAAATGCTGAGCCTGGAGGTGATGGGTCATGACCCCTCATTGGGTTATAAGTTCAGAGTGGCCATGACAGAGGGCAGGAGGGGCCCGAGGTTCAGTGGCGCCCAACACTGAGGCTTAGGTGAGGATGAGGGGGCAGGCGCAGGGCGAGAGACGAACATCCTCCTGCAGACACGCTCCAGACCTCAAGGTCCTGGGGTCTGTGGGTCAGCTGCGCTTCAGGGGGAAGAGCACACACGACTTTCACCTTTATCTCGATAAAGAGTTGATATGGAGGATAACTGCCAGGTGCCCTCACGGTGCCCCAGGCCTCACAGCAGGGACGGGACACGAGGACACTTGCCCCTCATAACCTCACAAGGGCTCAGTGCTCTTCCTGGATATGTGAGGTAATTCTTAGCCGTGGCAATGGTGCCTGAATTACCTCTTCAAGGAGGACATCTTCCCTTGCTGGTAGCGCAGGGCTCCTCCTAGAGAGAGGGACAGCATGAGGTCAGTGTGGCCCCAGGACATGCCAGGCTGAGTGATGCACCCATCCATTCCTCTGGCCCTTAGCCTTCTGAGCCACCTGACATCCTCAGCCATTGCCCGTGTGGTGAGGCTAAGGCCCAGGGCTCCGTGGCTGGGCCTGTCAGGATGGAAGGCTTCCTCCGTGATTCGCCAACTCCACAGGAGCGGTTTCCCATGGGGGTTCCTATTTCCCAGGGCCTGGGTCCACCCCTCAGAGAGGCAGAACCTGAGATCTTCTCCTCACCTGGATCAGGAACGTGAACCTTTCCTCAGAAGCCACTAACTGTATCCATCCCAAGCCGAGAGAGCCAGGGCACCTACAAACGAGGCTCCCAGGAAGGATGAGGAACGAACACACTTACCCCAGGTGCTGACGGCATTGTCCACGCCAGAGGGGTTCCCGTGGATCACTCTCTCGCCCTCGTAGGCCCACTTGTTAATTGACTTCAGGTCCTCCTCGGTCCACCTGAGCACAGAGAGTGAGGGGCTGGGGTAGCCTTGGACAGCAGAAGGAAGGAGCTGTGGGCTGCACCTGCTCCAGGCACAGGGGCTCAGAAGGAGCAGTAGAATCTGGCCTCTCAGCCTAAGATGACGCTGCCTTGCTTTCCGGTCCTCAGAAACCCACACAGCGCAGAGGGAGTGTTGTGCTCTCTCTAGCTGAGATACTCTGGAGCTGTTACCTAACCTCTCTGAGCCCCACTCCCCTCAGGGATAGAATACTCTAACTTCACTCTCGTCAGGCTAGGTCATGCGTGGCTGGAGACGGACGGTGTGTCTACACAGGTCATGTGTTGGCAACGCTGCTCAAGTGTCAGCTCCTCAACAGGCCTGTCTAGGAGGCGAGCAGAGGTGAGA